GTTGCTGGTATGTTGGCCCATTCCTCCATGCAGATCTCCTCTAGAGCACTGATGTTTTGGGGCTGTCGCTGGGCAACACGGACTTTCAACTCCCTCCAAAGGTTTTCTATGGGGTTGAGATCTGGAGACTGGCTAGGCCACTCCAGGACTTTGAAATGCTTCTTACCAAGCCATTCCTTCGTTGCCCGGGTGGTATGTTTGGGATCATTGTTATGTTGGAAGACCCAGCCATGTTTCATCTTCAATGCCCTTGCTGATGGAAGGAGGTTTGCACATAAAATCTCACGATACATGGCCCCATTCATTCTGTCCTGTACATGGATCAGTCGTCCTGGTTCCTTTGCGGAGAAGCAGCCTCAAAGCATGATGTTGCCCCATGCTTCACAGTAGGTATAGTGTTCTTTGGATGCAACTCAGCATTCTCTCTCCTCCAAACACGATGAGTTGTATTTCTACCAAACAGTTCTATTTTGGTTTCATCTGACCATATGACATTCTCCCAATCCTCTTCTGGATCATCCAAATGCTCTCTAGCAAACTTCAGACGGGTCCGGACATGTACTGGCTTAAGCAGGGGGACACGTCTGGCATTGCAGGATCTAAGTCCCTGGCGGCGTAGTGTGTTAATGATGGTAGCCTTTGTTACGTTGGTCCCAGCTCTCTGCAGGTCATTCACTAGGCCCCCCCCCCGTGTGGTCCTGGGATTTTCAGTCTTCCCAGCCTGGTGCAGGTCTACAATTTTGTTTCTGGTGTCCTTCAACAGCTCTTTGGTCTTCACCATAGTGGAGTTTGGAGTGTGACTGTTTGAGGTTGTGGACAGGTGTCTTTTATACTGATAACAAGTTCAAACAGGTGCCATTGATACAGGTAATGAGTGCAGGACAGAGGAGCCTCTTAAAGAAGAAGGTACAGGTCTGTGAGAGCCAGAAATCTTGCTTGTTTGTAGGTACCAAATACTTATTTTCCACCATAATTTGCAAATAAATTCTTTCCAAATCAGCCAATGTGATTGTCTGTTTTTTTTTTTCCTCATTTTGTCTCTCATAGTTGAGGTCTACCTATGATGCCAATTAAAGGCCTCTCTCATCTTTTTAAGTGGGAGAACTTGCACAATTGGTGGCTGACTAAATACTTTTTTGCCCCACTGTATAGGGGATGGACACAGTGGTGGGAGAAGGGAGAAGGGAGGGAAATCGGAAAGGGAGCAGGGATGGGGGGGGGGAGTTAGGGGACGTAGTGGAAGGGGAAGAGCCACTGTTCGTGGACCTGAGTTTACACACAGAGTCAGTGTCGATTAAGGCAAGACAAATGTTGTAGAGCATATAGGGATTAGGCATAACCAACCCCAGAGGACAGAAAAAGGGAATAATAAAGAATAAAGAATAATAGAAAAAGAGAAAGAGAGGGTCAAGTCGGGAGACATTAAGGCACGGAAATATATCAAATCCACGGGTCCCATGTTTTATCAAACTTTCTAGTATTGTTATGTAGAATACAGGTCAGTCTGTCCTTAATCATAATCCAATTCAGTTTATTCTTAACATAGTCAAGTGGGATGACCGATTGCTTCCAATGTCTAGCTATAGTAATTCTCGCTGCCAACATCATATAGGTGACCAGTTTAAGGGACTTCCTGGGAGCGGTATCTGGGAATTTATGAAAGAGGGCTGTCTCCAGGGATCTGCAAATACTCACCCCCATCACCGAATAGATGAAATTAAACATGAATCTGGTTACTATTGGATATTGCTACCAGATGTGATACATAGAACCCATCTGGCTGCAACGCCGGAAGCACATCGGTGAGGCAGATGGATGCATCCTTGCAGTTCTAGTAGGGACCAAGTACCATTGTAATAACATTTTGTAGTTTGCTTCAATTAGAGTAGTGTTGATGGAAACTTTAGATAATGCAAGGGCAATATCTTGCCAATCAGATAGGTCATAAGTGACATTCAGGTCCCATTCCGATTGATCCATATAGGGAAGCTTACAATTCGTATCAATGAGGAGAGCATACACTGTGGTGACACGGCCTCTGGGGAAATCCCTATTCTGGCAGAAAAGTTCAAAACTGGTAAGTATGGGTGGTTCATCCAATAAAGTAAGCTTCGAGCAGATAAAAGAGACAATTTGATTGTATCTAAAGATTTCGGTAAAGGACATTTGCAACTTATCTTTAAAGTCCTGCAAAGAGTGTGTTTTATCACCCTTAAGGTATTCTCCTATCCGCAGCAGTCTTTTGTTAATCCACCATTGAAATGGGCAGGTACTAAACCAGGTACAAATTCAGGGTTACAAAAAACAGGAGCCAAGGGGCGTGTGTGGAGATGCTAGTGATTTGCGATGGCACACTCTGTCCCAGACTGTCAAAGAATAAGACATAGTGGGGAATAGTATAAGAGGGCGTGATCGATTAGGAAGCCAAAGTAAAGAGTCGACTAGTAAGGGGTGCAGGAGAGCTCTTCAACAGAAACCCAGAGGGGAGGTAGGTTCCTTAGCAGTGGTGTATGCCAGTTGGGCAGTTTGGGCAGCTTGGAAATATGCTTGAAAATTAAGAAGGCCAATCCCGCCACGTGAATAAACCAAAGTTTTAACAACCATCGTATACAGTACCTGTGGCCATATTGACAGACCATAAAATATTTCATACCAATATTCTAACTATACCAGTAATAACAATTTAACATGATGATAAAGAGGGCCAACAATATCTAATACATGAAAAAACACCCAAGCAACATTTATTTCACACGATTACCAGGATGTCTTGATTTTTAATAATTTGATAAAGTTAAATACAGCTTCATGTACCTACAGTTACACAAACATTTTTTTTTTTACCCATCATTAAACATAGTAATTTAGTAATATTCAGTATATCATTTATATATATGGATATACAGGTTACATTTAGGTTCTTATGATATGTTTTCTGCAATGCAAGCACTATAGTTTAGCTTTAATTGGTAGAAATGCTCAAGTTAATTAGTGATGGAATGTGTTAATGATTACCAGTGGCAGGCATATCACAATGTACAATGTATCATCCTATTTTAAATTAACCTTAAACTACACTGGTGATGCAATTCACTGCATAGTTAATAAAGTGCTCTCCGCTTAGGTTACAGTGCTTCCAGACAGTAATAATAATAACAACCCTTTCGTGACCAGAGATAATTGAAACCTAAATACTGGACAACATTTAGACGTGTCAGTATTAGCAGTAATGTATTTTTTGTTTGACTTTGACTTTAACAGCCCCAGCCTGCAGTCAGTGTGCTTCTTCCTATGCAAGGCACAAAAACAGCTGAGCTAATGGAATTGTTTAGTAGACATACCCCTATTTTCACTTTAACCCCTTGCCCTCCAGATGATTTACCCCCCTTCCTGAGCAGGCCATTTTTTGCGTTACGGCGCTGTGTTACTTTTAACTGACAATTGCGTGGTCATGCAACACTGTACATAAATGAAACTTATGTCCTTTTTTCCCACAAATAGAGCTTTCTTTTGGTGGTATTTGATCATCTCTGTGGTTTTTATTTTTTGCTCTATAAACAAAAAAAAGGCCGACAAATTTGAAAAAAAAAAAAAAAGTTTTGACTTTTTGCTATAAAACATATCCAGTAAAAAAATAAAATTTTGCCATAAATTTAGGCCAAAATGTATTCTGCTACATGTCTTTGCGAAAAAAAAAATGCATGTAAATTAATTGGTTTACATGACAGTTATAGCGTCTACAAATGGTGGTATATGAACTGGATTTTTTTTTTATATACTAGTAATGGCGGTGAATTTTAGGACTGCGGGACTGTGACAGGCATTCTAACACTGGGTGGGAACAGACTAACTGCCACTGGCATCCCAATGACACTAATACAGTGATCAGTGCTAATAAAAAGCACTAACACTGTACTAAAGACACTTTGCAGGAAAGGGTTAATATGTGGGGCGATCAAAGGGTTAACTGACTGTGTCCTGTGTGCTGTTTTACATCATGTGCTGTATGTGTTTTACTAGGAAAACATGTTGCTGTGTATTTCTCTGCTGTGCATAGAAATACACAGCACCATGTTCTTGCTGACAGGAGAGAGACCTGTATTGTTTACATGCATATCTCTCCCGTGTTAGTGTTACTCAGCGATAGCCGGGTGTCCATGGGGAATCTCTGGCCGGGCCCCATTGACTGACAGTGGTGGTGCGGGTAGGGCAATGCACGCCCCCCTACCCAGAAATACAAATCACGTATATATATATATATATATATATATATATATATATATACGTGATTTTGCACAGCCCTGCCGCCATGTAGCAGTATTTCTTTTACATGGTGGCGGGCAAGCGGTTAATTTGCTCATTCAGTGATCACATATTCTGGAACCAATTAGAATGGTTCATAATCATTATTCAGAAACCAGAGTAGTCAGTGCAGTCTTGGACCAAGGGGCTAGAATTGTTATTAGCTCTTATTTTCAAAAGATAATAGATCAATGCTCCATTGGCACAAAGCATCATGCTAGACATCATTAAAGCAGAGTTCCGGCCCTCACCACCTCCCAAAAAAAGTTAAAAGTCAAAAGCTACAAATACTGTGGCTGCTGACTTTTAATTGTAGAGCACTTACCTATCCATGCATCCAGCAGTTTCCCCCGAGCCAATTCTTCAGTCGGTTGTTGGGTGTTGGTGCCACCATCTTGACTAAGGGAAACCGGCAGTGAAGCCTTGGTCGGTGCGCTTTGAGCTTTGTGAATGGGGGGGGAGGGGGGATTGCAAAACCAGGTACCTGCTCCCCCCCCCCTTTACCAAAAGGTGCCAAATGTGGCAGCGGAGTGAGGGAGGAGGCAGAAAAGCGGAGCTTCCACTTTTGGGTGGAACTCCACTTTAATCTACAGCTTGTGGATGGGAAGGAGTTAAAAGAATTTTTATACAGTACATTTATCCATTTTTCTAGAAGCTCTAGCTATTAATAAATAATACATTTATACTGTAAATAGGTGGCCAGTCCTACTGCATAAAGAATTTTATGCTATCACTAGGGGCGGACTGACCATTTGGAAACTCGGGCACCGCCCGAGGGCCCGGGGTCAGTAGGGGGCCCCATGAGATGCCCCTGGTACCTTTTTCATAGGCTTTTTTGAGCTTGGGCAAGGACACAGGGGCCCCATGATCCCCTATTGCCCAGGGCCCCATGAGTTGTCAGTCCGCCTCTGGCTATCACTCATTGTAACTGAGCTGTTCTTGAGTGTTTACTGTATAGGGGCAGCTGGAGCGGCTATGAAATCTTCTGCTCCCCTCCCACTGCTGGAGCCACCACAATTTGGCTAGTTGAGAGGAGCGCTGGGCTGTTTGATCTTTAGTCAGCCTCTTTCCTTTAACTTCCTTGCCACACTGTTGGATTGGTTCTGTTGAGATCCCTGTTCACCCCGCCCCCCCTCTCCTAGCAGCTGCAGTGGACAAATCAGCAACAAGGAGGATGGACAATGCAGCCACTCGTTCCCTCCCCTTAAAGACTCAACTTCTTAAGGGACATTAGGAAATGTAGTTCATTAGAAAGAGCTGCACAATACAAATAAATGGGGGCTTGGACTACAGGGGACACAATGCTTTGTGGAAAGAGGAGGCACATTCTACTAGAGAGTACAGTGCAATGCAGAGTGAGAGAACCGTGTTATTGGGAAAATCCCAAAGGAAAGAGAGAAAAAGTGAGCCACTGGAAAGGCATCTTGCTGTGAGGGAGACTGAAAAGTGCACAACTGTCAAGTGTACACAATCACTGCTGCATATCAGTGGCCTAAGCAGGATCCGGAGTGATGAATTTGGGGGTGCAGAGCAGAGAGTGGACTAATTGTTGTGTGTGACTGGGTGGTGAGCTGCAATATCACTGGACCTGCTGTGGGGATTTACTATCTGCTGCTAGAGAAACTGAAAACTTTAGGGATTGACTTTGCAGCCATCTAGTAGTCTTCCTTCTGCCTGCGGGCTTGACTGGGACTATTCTTATGTGCTCCAACAGTACAACTATCCCCAACACTAGCCGGCTGAAGAGTTAGGACAAAAGGCGGGTCCCTTTACAGCTGCTACGCAGAGACCTTCACCTATTGCTTATTCTAAGAGGTAACTCTCAGGGGACATTGCACCACATCCTAGCCATTTTCCTAGAGTAGACTAGTTATAATAGTATTTTTATTTTTATTCACATTGTAGTTATTGCTTATATGCTCTGTTTATTGCCGAGTAAATCACAGTCTAGTAGTGCAGGACTCTATTCAGAATTTCTTTGGCATAGTGTTTATAGTTTCTAGAGGACTGTGTTTTGAACCAACCTTCTGTATGCTCCTTTATGCTCAAACCACCATTCATTCTAACCTGTATCAATGCATTGGGGTTTATTTACTAAAGCTGGTTCACTCAGAATCTCGTGCACTTCTGCAAAGAAACCAATTATCTTACAGGTTTTATTGCTAAAACTTAATAGAATAAGTTGAGGCTAGAGGCTGATTGGCTACTGTGCACAAGTGTAAGTATTCTTAGCTTCTAATGTACCAGCTTCAGTAAATCTCCCCCTTTGAGTTAATTTTACACAAAATGGTATCTTATCTATTTCCTGGTACTAATTCACAGCCAAAGTTAAAGGTATCCAAACTTGTGTTTTAAAAGTGCTTGTAGTAACTTTCATTCACTCAGGTGTGCCAGAAGGGCTGAGGTTGCTCTTTGAGTAGAAGCACAGAACACAGAACCTAAATTACCAAGTCTCCTTAGGAGGTAGAGCTACAACTGAATAGCTATAGCTGCAGTTTTTCTTGTCAATATTATATCCGAAGGAGGTCTGTCTAATTGCCCATAGAATGTTTTAAAAGACTAGGTTGCCCTGTCTTATGGGATACGGCTTTTCATGTTATCAACTGACTTTTATTGAGTACACTGCAGTGAATCTATAATTCTGGTTTGTGAGTGACTTTACTAGGATATAAAATGGGCAGCTTGAAGGCAATAAGAAATGGGTCCATGTTGTATAATGCATCTTGTATTATATAGAACACAGACCCATGTCTTGAATACAATGGCTTCATTTAGCACTAATAATATCTATCTGTTTTTCTCCAGCCATTAAGAATATACAAAAATAATGCTTTAAATACACATTTTCTTATAATTAGCAATTCTAATAGTTATAGTAGAGATGAGCGAATTTTTCAAAAAAATTCGATTCGGCTGATTCGGCAAATTCCAGGAAGAAATTTGATTCGATGCGAATTAATTCGCTACGAAGTTAACTTATAAAAAGGGTTTCTACTAGGCTTCAGAGAGCCTTTAAATTAGTGCAGACACTGTACCTTTAATTTAAATGCCCTTTGGAGATGAGGAAGGAGAAGGAGAAGGAGAAGGATGAGAAGAAGGAGAAGGAGAAGGATGAGAAGAAGGAGAAGGATGAGAAGAAGGAGAAGGAGAAGGAGGAGAAGGAGAAGGATGAGAAGAAGGAGAAGGAGAAGGATGAGAAGAAGGAGAAGGATGAGAAGAAGGAGAAGGATGAGAAGAAGGATTGAGAAGAAGGATGAGAAGAAGGAGAAGGAGAAGGAGGAGAAGGAGAGAATTGATGAGAAGAAGGATGAGAAGAAGGAGAGAAGCTAGAGAAGAATACGGATGAGAAGAAGGAGAATATGGATTAGAGAAGAAGGAGAAGGATGAGAAGAAGGAGAAGGATGAGAAGAAGGATGAGAAGAAAGGAGAAGGATGAGAAGAAGGACAGTTCTGGGGACAGTTTCTGTGTCTATTTCTGACAGTTCTGTGACATTCACTCCATACAGCGGTTTCAACCGCTGTATGGAGGGAATGTCCCAGAACTGTCAGAAATAGTCTATTTCTGACAGTTCTGGGACATGTATGGAGTGAATGTCACCAGAACTGTCAGAAATAGTCTATTTTCTGACAGTTGTGGACATTCCCTCCATACAGCGTGGTTTCAACCGCTGAATATGGAGGGGAATGTCCCAGAACTGTCATAAATAGTCTATTTCTGACAGTTCTGGGACATTCACTCCATAACAGCGGTTTCAACCGCTGTATGAAGGGAATGTCCAGCATACTGTCAGAAAATAATCTATTTCTGACAGTTGTGGGACATTCACTCCATACAGCGGTTTCAACCGCTGTATGGAGGGAATGTCCCAGAACTGTCAGAAATAGTCTATTTCTGACAGTTTCTGGGACATTCACTCCATACAGCGGTCTTTTCTGACAGTTTTCTGAAACATTTGTATCTATTTGTTTCCATAAATGGATCCATTTATGGAAACAAATAGATACAATGTTTCAACCGCTGTATGGAGGGAATGTCCCAGAACTGTCATAAATAGTCTATTTCTGACAGTTGTGGGACATTCACTCCAGAACAGCGGTTTCAACCGCTGTATGGAGGGAATGCCCCAGAACTGTCAGAAATAGACTATTTCTGACAGTTCTGGGACATTCCTTCCCTCCATACAGCGGTTGAAAACCGCTGTATGGAGTGAATGTCCCAAACTGTCAGAAATAGTCTATTTCTGACAGTTCTGGGACATTCACTCCATACAGCGGTTGAAACATTGTATCTATTTTTTTCCATATCTAAGTGTATCTGCAAGCTCCTCTAAGTGTATCTGCAGAATAGAGGAACTCTGCACATACACTTTTTGCCGGCTTGGAATTATTCTTATTTTCATCCTACTTCTTCTTCTTCTTCATCCTCATTCATCCTCATCCATCATCTTCTTCTGAGGATGAGGATGAAGAAGAAGAAGAAGAAGAAGAAGTAGGATGAAAATAAGAATTAATTCCAAGCCGGCAAAAAGTGTATGTGCAGAGCTCCTGTATCTGCAATCTGCAGAATAGAGGAACTCTGCACATACACTTTTTGCCGGCTTGGAATTCTTCTTATTTTCATCCAACTTCTTCTTCTTCTTCTTCATCCTCATCCTCTTCTTCTTCTTCTGAGGATGAGGATGAGGATAAAGAAGACTGGTTCGATTCGCTCATCTCTAGTTATAGGAAAAGATCATTGATATTACCAGCAGAATTCTGTATACTGCATGTTATGAAATATTTGCATATTATCTATAACAAAAGCAAACAAAAAATGAAAATTAAAGTTTTCGTTTAAAGCTAGCTGGCATATCTTGTGACATGAGTTCTAAAAATAAAGCAGTATTCCCTAGGGCCTAATTTTATAGAAGAATTTTGCATCTAATGAAAAAGTAAATTCAGCAGATTGCAAGTATTCTGAGCCAAGAGCAGTTTCAAAACAAATGAGAGCAAAGTTTAGTTTTGTAGCTTATAAATAACTAATATCTCTTAAGGAATGCCTGTATAAGGCCATATTTTTTATGTGAAATGAATATAATTTCCAGTGTTCCCCGGGTCATGTAGGAGTGGGACCCTGAGAGGTCTCAGACAGTTTAGAAAAAGTGACATGCATTTTGTATCTATGGTTTGGTTTTTGTGGTTGAGAGAAATTACAGAAGAGGTTTGGTTCCTATTTTAATGCATCAATTGGTGCCCCTTGGCCAGCATTTGCTTCCACTACAAGCTGACAAGCACCTACAATAAACTGTGCCTGCAAATACTTCCTAGATGTAGCAGCTCCTCGGCTTCATTTCTCTGCCACATCAAAAAATAAATTGTGCTGTGTTTTATTGTGGGTTTATCTCAAAGAATGCAGGCATCACTTTGATATTACAACCACAGCTCTTAAAACAATTGTACATTTAGACTACAATATAGTTCCCCTGGAAAGCAGTCTACAGTTGCAAGAAAAAGTATGTAAACCCCTTGGGATTTTTTGGAGTTTTGCATGAATTAGGCATAAAATGTGCTCTGAACGTCATCTAAGTCACAGCAATAGAAGAACACAGTCTACTGAACATAATACTACACAAACATTAGAGGTTGCCATGGTTTAATTGCACATAACATGTAAACATTCACAGTGCAGGGAGGAAAAAGTATGTGAGGCCCTAGCTTAATGACTTCTCCCAGAGCTAATTGGAGCCAGAAGTGAGCCAACCTTGATTCCAATCAGTGTGATGATATTGGATGTGTTGCTGACAGCTGTCCTGCCCTTAAAAAACACACCCCCTGTTTTGGGTTTACTGGTTTCAAGAAGCACTGTCTGATGTGAACCATGCCTCGCAGAAAAGAGCTCTCAGAAGACCTACGATCAAGAATTGTTGACTCGCATGAAGCTGGAA